CGCGGGCTGACCTGCACCTCAAGCTCCTCCTTGTCCATCCGGCACTGGGAGGCGTTTCTCAGCGACTGCCCCTGCGGCCCCCTCAGCCACTGCCCGTCCGGCCCGCACGTCTTGTAGACGAACCGGTGCTGAACTGTGAGGGTGGGGGGGGACACGATGGTCAGCGCAGCCCAGAGGCCGCCCCCACCCCCCTGCCTCTGCAGTTACCTTTGTGGTACCAGGGCAGGTACCAGGGGCAGGCGATGCTGGCCGTGGTGTTGGGGGGCGTGTCGGGCCAGCAGGAGTACTTGTCGAAGGTTCTGTTGCAGACCAGCTCTGCGGGCGGGCGGGCTCCGCTGAGAACCGTCCTCTGCTCCCGCCTCCCAGGCCTCTGACCGCCCGCCTCCCCGGGACACTCTGCATTTCCCCCAACTTGCCCCCCACCTACCTGGGCCCCCCTCTTCCCGGTTCCCTTCTTAAAAGTGCCTCCCGCTCTGAGGACTGAACCCCAATTTTGTTGGCTCTCTTCCTGGGCCCAGCACCAACCCTGTGGGCAGCCCTCCTGCTCCTGCCTCTCTGCACCCCGGGGCCTCCAGGACCGTCCAGGACTGACCCCATCCTGGCCTGGCCCCCCATCCCTGGGCCTGTGAGGTCTGCCCACCTGTCTCCAGCGCCTCCTGTGGCCTCTAAGCCCACGGGGCGCCCACCAGCGGGGGCACGGAGCACCCCAGTGCGGAGGCACGTCCACTGCCTCTTTTCCCTGCTCCTGCGGCCTCTCGGTGGCTCGGTCTCCTCACCTGTGCCGAGCCTTCCCCTAAGAAGAGCCCGGGAAGTGCCGCGGGGGAGGAAGGCAGGGGCCCACCCGTGGGGCTCACCCGTGGGGGGCGGCAGCAGGCTCAGGTTGTACAGACACTGGTCCCCATAGAGCTTCCACTTCTCGAACACGGAGTCCATCATCTGCGCACAGGGGGCCTGCAGCTGGGCAGGGAGGGTGGGCGGAGCGGCTGGGTCAGTGAGGGGAGGGCCAGCCGGAGGTGGGAG